TTTGTTTTTTGCTGAACAAATTATGCAATACAGTAATTTAAGTGTGATGATGATAATTTGAGGCCCGTTATAACACCGTTGTCCCCTATGCCTAGTTACATCACTGTTTCAGCCAGGAGTGCACATGGACCTTTACCACTTCAAAGGCTTTATCATAGTTATAGAATATGCTTCAAGTTCCATCTGAACTGAAACTAGAAAAATTTTGTTGCTGTTGTGTAGTTAAGAAGCCTCAAGCGATGGCTGTATCACCATAGGAGATGAAGAAAGAATATCCAAGTCTGTGTCTCACACTGATAAATATAGTCCTATTTTAGTAGCATTTAAATTTAAAACACTTTCAGTCACTTAGCAAGAACATACTAACTTAAATGGTAATTGGAAAGCACTCCAAGAGCTAATGCTGGTCAGATGGTGGTGGTGGTGGCGCGTCTACCTCTGGCACCAGTCTCCCAACTCCACAGGGCCCATGCTTGACAAAGCCCTAGCTGGAGTGATTAATTGGGGTCCTGCTTTGAAGAGAGGGTTCCATTAGATGACCTCCTAAGCCTAAGGTCACTTCCAATCCTAATTTTCTATTATATAAGCCTCCTTGCATATTCAGTGATAAAGGGTATCAACAGGCCACTTCATATCCGTTTGTACAATGCCTAGCACAATGACATCCTACTCCTGGCTGAGGCTTCTAGGTAGTACCATCAGACAAATAGAGCATGAATGAAGAAATGAACTGTAGTGTACATTTACCCATTTTTCTGGTATGGTATCACAAAGATAAAAGTTCTCTAATGTGTTTTCTTTTGACTTCCATGTAACATTCCATGCACAAATACAGTTTTATTGTCCCTTCTGTACTTTACCGCCTTCTGATCATTCACTTTGCCCACAAGGTGGCAGCATTCACCTTAAATTCAGCTCTAATTTAAGATCTGTTTCCTGTAAAACAGAAAATAGGTAAACCAAAATTCATCTAGTGTGGGCAGGTTTTGAGACTGCCCCAGAATAATAGGACAGAGCAGGTCCTGAAGGCTTTGTGAAAGAAAATTAAAAATAAAAAGAAATGCTTAGAAAAAAAGTACTTGTGTGGACTAGAGAGTGCTTCATTGTAAATGTAGGACTAATGGTACTTTAAAATGCATTTTATAGTTTGAGCATCTCACACTGAGACAACTACTCATCAGGCCAAATTTTAAAAATAATATGTATCTGTATAAAAGGTGCTTGTGTCCTTAACTCAATTTTTGTTTTTCTTCATTTAAATTATTGCTCTGAGATAGGGCTGGGGATGAGGGATTCAGTATGCAGGATTACCCCATCCCTCTCTCATGGCAGCATCTTAGGGCCAAATGAAAAGCACCTCTCCATGGCCACTGAAGCTCCTGTGGGCACAGCCGGGGGAGGGGTGCATGTCCTCCAGCTGGGGCAGATCCAGGTTTATCTGCCTCCTGCTCCTCCCAAGCCAGAATGAGGAATGCTGCAAACTGTGCACTTTCTCTTTGCTCCGTAACTTAGGGGAATGGCCAGCAATATTCCTGTACAAAATCAAGGGGGGAGCTTCAGCCCCCACCCTTGGGTGATGGGAGGCTTGGGGCTGAAGCAGTCCTGGAGGGAGGCCCATACCCCCAGCCAACCCCTTTCACCTGCCTGGTGATTCTGTCTCTTTTCTATATGGTTTTATGAGAAGCCATCCCATTCCAGGCACATCCTGATATCCTGGCACAACTAAGCCCTAACCTTGGTTTAAGTTATGATAAGAAGAAGCTACACACCAAATTTGGTAGTCCTAGCTCTTACCATTAAAGAGTTCTTGAAACAGACACACAGACAGACAAACTGTCTCAAATATGTAATAGATTCCTAGAGGAGACAAAGTAGATGAGGTAGTAATTGTTGGTGGAAAGTATAAGCTTTTGAGCTTCACAGAGCTCTTCTTTCAGCCTCCAGAAGCTTGAAAGCCTATACTTTCCACCAACAGAAGATGATCCACTAAAGGATATTCTTTTGCCTAGCTTGTCTTTTGTATCCTTAGAACAGCATTGCTATGACAACACTATAAATATCTGATATCTACATTAGGTTTTCTTTATATTGATGGGCAACTGGTAGGTAATTTATAAGATAGGGACCTAAGCATTTTCTCCATTTTGCAAATTGAGAAATAGCAATTAAGTGGCTTACCTGGGGGAAATGTTTTCTCCTAAGGCTGCGGGAGTGTATATAACACGTGGGGGACTGCAAATTGTGAGTTATTGGTGCTTATTCCAAAATTTACTAGTGCATTTCTCCAAATAATCATTGGCTTTGGAAGGAATCATGTACTTAATACTGTGCTCCTTTGGTCTCTTCCCCTATCGGAGGGGGCCATGTTTTTTCTCAGATTGTGGGATTTACTGTGCATTGACTATGCACTTATTTTTCCAATACTGTACTGTTGGACCAGTGGCATCTCAAGAGCACAGAAATGAGGTAATGTTTGAGCAAATCAATACTGCATATTTCAGTTTGCCCATCATATAAAAACTTAGATTGACTTGAAAAATAGTGATGCCATTGTAAAGCTTAGTTTAATAATGTGTATAAAATGATTTGCAATCCTGTGATGGAAAGTATTATCATGGCAACATATTCCTTGGGCCACTTGAAATTATGACCAAATAACAAACTGCATAGTTCCCATGATATTCTCTGGTAACAGTGCCTTAGAACTGTCTGTGGTGCTAGTTCCTTTAAGTAGATGTCACCTCTCCAAGTTCCAGAATTGTATACAGTCCTTCCCAAAAGGAGTACCAGGAACTTCACAGAAGTGAAAAAAAACCCAACCCACCAACCACAAATCCCACAACCCAGGCCCTTCCTCAAATAGTTTTTATGTGGGACACACTGAGAGGTGGTGAGAAATAAAGCGGAAGGGATGAGTCAGGAAAAGATAAAGGTCACAGTGTTAACAACTACGCAGTTGCTCAGTAGAAACATGCTCACCTCAGGGTAAATCAATTCTGCTGTTTTCTAAATTTGCATAAAAAAGAAAACATAAAAGCCTCAGCATTGTGACTATTACTGACTAACTTATGGATGACGTGGAAAAGCTGAGTTTTCAAGAAGGAATTTAAATGACAAGGGGCTGGTGGCTTGCCAGAGCAGAGAGGGGCAGATGTTCCATCTACTGGGAACAACATGGAAAAAAATACTAGATGGACAACAATGGTAAGTTAATATTTGTACACAAGTGTTAGCTTAATTCATTTACCTCAAACACGATAGAACAGAGGTGCTTAGTAGTCTCAAGACTCACATGGTGTAGATTTAGAAACTGGACAGGGTACCATTTCCCTGGAGTTTGGCATAAGTTTCAGGAAGTGTAACTCCAAGCCTACAAGTTAACAAATGACCTCTGCCTAGCACAGTGCAATAAATTACCATTTAGCAATACTGGAGGAACTCGCAGTACTTGGCATTAAATCATCAGTATAGGAAAGAAAAGTGAATAATTGATGGGCCAACACCTTATGCAACAAAGTTAGACATAGATGACCTGGTTGTGCTCCTTCCACATGCATCAGTTTTACATCAGCATAATTCCATTCAGTTCAGTGGAGTTATTCCTGATGCCAGCGCAAACAAGAAGGCCAGAATCTGTATTGCAGATGGGAGCATGCTCAAAAGTTGAGATCAAATAACTTGTGTAACTCTATGGAAGGCAGTAGGTATAAAACTGGCATGTTATCAGAATCAGACACTAAATACTTAGTCTGTTTCTTCCGTTTTTTGTTTTGGATAAAATTACTAATGTTAGGCCGCCTCTTAGAAAGGTTCAGAGGTTGATTTTTGGATTACCAGCAGATCTATATATCTCATTGGTCCACAAACTGGGAAGCACAGAGGAGCATCTGAGGTGGGGAGGGGAGGGCACATGGTAGGGCTCAGGTCAGCTTCCCCAAGAAGTAATAAGGGAGTTATACCCAGCTCCACTCTGCTGAGCCTACTGTGCAGTAAATAGGATGGGAGGGGGTGTGCAGACAGATTCCATTACTGGTAAGGGGGGACCATGATAGGAAAAGCCTGCACACCAGTGACAGTGTCATTCAACTTCCCTTCTTCCACGAAGGGTTAGATCATAGGCTATATTCTGCCACCCTTGCTGCTCAGGATGTATAGTAACCGACTTTGTGACCGGTCCAGCGGATCACAGTGGGATACTCACAGCCCTATTCCACATGAGTGAAGAGGGTAGAATCTTGCCCTCTATCTGTGTGAAGCCAGATATTCAAAACTGCTGAGGTCCAAATGTTGAAGTGTGCAGCACCTCCAACCGGGGTCAGCTTTTCCAAAGAGCTCTGCTCCCTTCCAGGCACCTACACAAAGAAAGTGCTCAGTGACTATCGTGTTGGGCTGCAGCATAAAATCCTGAAACAGAAAGGCTACGTCTGCACTGCAGCACTCTTGAGATTCCGAAGGTCTCCCAAAATAGCTATCCCGTCTCTTTTGAGCATGTGCGTTATTTCAAAATACAACGGGCTCACTATTCCGATGTCCCTGTAAACCTTATTCCACAAGGAATAAGGGACGTTTTGGAATAGTGGGTTATTTCAAAATTTGGCACTGTGTAGACAGCACCAAATTACAAAATAAGCTATTTCAAAATAAGATGAGCAAATTGCTCATCTCATTTCGACCTATGGGGCAATACAGATGCACCCAGAGTGGCCATATTTTTAAAATGTACTCAGCAGCCAACATGCTGAGGTGTTTCTCTCATTGTTGTTGAAAATCTGGCTTATTTGGGGGCCTAAATGAGAGCTAAGTGCTTTGGAAAGTCAAGCCCACTGTGCCGAAATCCAGCAGAAGGGTGTGGATACTTTCATAAGTCCCTGCCTCTCAATTTATTTTCTCTCCCTGTAACACAGGACAGCAGCATCTCAGACATAGATCTAGGATTTTGGATGATTACCTGTTTCTTACATGATTGATCTCCCATCACTTATATTTCAATCTTTTGACAGAGACAAGGATTGCCAAAAAATATGGGAAACAATGAAAAATGCATTTGTTTACAAGAACCCATGTAATATTACAACAGAAGATTATCAGCCATTATTGGATTTGGCAAGTCATCCTGTCCCCTGTAACAAGGTAAGAAAGCTATCAAGGTAGGGACTTCTTCTCTGTACATGCCTAGTACAATGGCGTCTTTGTTTTTGTTCTGTGTTTATGAAGTCCCTAGCACAGGGGTGGGCAATGATTTTTGCCTGGGGCCCACTTCAAAAAATATGTAAGTATTCCCGGGCCACCCCGGAAAGGACGGAGCTTAAACAGGAAGGGGCAGGGCTATCCCACCCCCAGACCATGAATGGTCTGGCGGTGGGGGAACCCCTTTCCCCCCTTTCCCACTAGGCACCCATGCCCTGGAAGAAGCTTGGCACTCTCCCCCACCCTCAGGCCAATCAGGGCCTGGGGTGGGGTGGGGGGTTGAGCGTGCAAAGTCTCCTCCTGCCCTCAAGCCAATCAGGGCCTGGGGGCAGGGGATTGCACGCAAAGCCTCCTTCCGCCCTGCGAGGAGCACGGGCCACAGTCAACTTGCAGGGCCAGGGCAGAGCAAAGGAAGCTTCACGCAGCTCCCCCACCCTCAGGCCCTGAGAGTGAAGCTTCCTCCGCTCTCTCCCCCCCACCCTGTGAGCAGCATGCGGCACTTCAAAGCACCATGTGCTGCCTGACGGGTGGGAGGAGGCTTTGTGCACTTCCCCACCCCCAGCCAATTAAGGCCTGGGGGCAGGGGAGCAGGCGACACCTTCTCCGGGCGCTCTCCCGCCCCCCAGGTAGGGTTACCAGATGGCCTCAAAAAAAATACCAGACACATTAATCTCAGATGAAAGGGGGGACACCGGCGGGGAAGGGAGTGGGGCTGGCTGGAAGGAGGTTGGGGGTGGGAGCGGGGATGGCCGGGAGAGATGGTGGTATGGGGGGAGAACCGGCCAGCGGGAAGCAGGGCTGGACGGGAGGAAGTTGTGGGGAGCGGGGCTGGCCTGGGCCTGGCCCAGGCACACACAGATCCCGGGGTGCTGCCCATCCCGCATATGGTCCCGGAGGAGCACGAGTGAGTCTGGCCCCGGGGATTCCATCCCGCGCCCCCCCACCGCGTAGTTGCATACTGCCTGGCTGGTAGACACGCTTACGCAATGTGACACACACAGTGTGAGCATGTCTACCAGCCAGGCAGTACGCAACTACGTACGGATACTCATAACAATAAAGCTAACCTTATTAGAAAATACTGGACATTTATATGTCCAGTATTTTTTCCAATTTATTTCCCGGACAGAAACCTCAAATACCAGACTGTCCAGTTCAAAACCGGACACCTGGCAACCCTATCCACGTTTGGGAGTGGGGAGCAGCAGGGCCTCCGCGGGCCAGATCCACCCAGTTGGCGGGCTGGATCCAGCCCGCGGAGGCCCTTTTGCCCACCCTGCCCTAGCATAACAGGGTTCTGGTCCAAAATGGGGGTTGTTAGGAACTGTGATAACACAAATAATAATGATGATGATGATGGCAAACATGAGTGACCCTCAAATACCTACAGGCACTCTGACTTGAGGTTTGTGATAACATTACTCCCAAAGCTATTTCTGTTTGAACAAAAGAATCCTGGGAATTCTATTCATTACAGGTCAGTGATGAAAACCAAGAGAGCATTGCTTCTTGGGGCAATATTTTGGGCCATGATGGGAAAATTGTTGTGGCCTTCACTGGTATGTAAAAGACCTTTATGTAAGAGTAGCCGAAGTAGCTTATTAGCCCACATGCATGCAAAAATGGAGGAGTAACAGTAATTAGACACGGTTAAAATGTTTTTCCAGCAGAGAATAAATGTTTTTTGGCAAAAACCCAAAAATTTTGCGTGTGTGAGTAAGACTGTAATTCCAGTCAGTTTTTAATGAAAATAAAATGTTCATGTTTTTTGTCAAACAATTTTTTAAAGAAAATTTTTATTTTCATTAAAAAAAACCCCAATGGAATCACACACACACACACACACACACACACACACACACACACACACACACACAGTGTGTGTTTTTGGTCATTTTGACAAAAACCTAAACAATATAAATGAAAAACTAAAACATTTTCATTATCAAACCAAAAAATGACTATTTTCTGTCTAGCTCTCTTATCAATGTCATTTCTTACACGGCATTCTTTTCCTCTCAGTCATTATTTTGGAGCAAAACAAATGACCTTGTTCATCGTTACACAAAAGCCAATCACAATTTATTCACTCTGGAGGACACCTTGTTAGGCTATATGACTGATGGGGTCTCATGGTGTGGAAGCCCTTCTAGACCAGGTAAGGATTCCTTTTAAAAAAAAAAAGAAAAATAATAAAAACATGCATATTATAACTCAAAGTTTTCTTTCGTTCACTCTCAAGTTAATAAAAAACATTTTCTTTTGGTGAAGATATTTTCTGTTCTTAGTTTCAGCCCGATCAAACTCTTGATCCTTTCAGCCCAGCCTGAATTATGGCAAAGTATGTGTAGGGGGAACCCCACCATCCATTTTCAGCTTAATTTTGTCACTTTTTTAATGCCGGTAGCGCAAAAACAGCTCAACCTTGGGATATCAGACTTGGCACAAGACTAGTACTCACATCTAGCAAAAGACCAGAGACTGCCACCCATATTTACTTTCATCATCAAACTCCTGTGATTTCACTGGGAACATTTGCAGAATAAGGACACAGTCCTGCAATATACTCCCTTCAGGAAGACTCCTGCATGTGCCTGGAGGTCACTGGGACCCCATATAGATATAAGGGGGCTTCCTGTGTAGGCTCAGGACCTGAGAACGAGTAGGGATGTCAGAATCTGTCCACAAATTTGAGGGAAAGTTACAGAAAACAAAAATTAGGTGGGAAAAGTCACTTCTGAGACTGCTCAGTGAGCTTCTGCTAAGGCCTATTCTGTTTGTCACATTCTCATTGCTCAGTCAGACCATGAAAAATGTTGCTGGAATCAATTGCATAAAGGGACTACAAATTATTAATTGAGATTGCCTATCTCCTAGAACTGGACGGTACCTTGAAAGGTCATTGAGTCCAGTCCCTTGCCTTCACAGCAGGACCAAGTACCATCCCTGACAAATTTTTGCCCCAAACTGCCTCCACAAGGATTGAGCTCAGAACCCTGGGATTAGTAGGCCAATGCTCAAACCACTGTTATCCCTCCCTGATGACTCACAGAAACACAGCAAAGTCTTCCAAACACCTTCAAATTAAATTTCCCTTTAGAACACTTTTCATCTAAACGCATCGCTGTGATGGGATGCAATATTTATTTTGCCGTTCTTATTCAGCCCTGAGGTTATGTTAATATGTCTGACAACTTCTTTTCTAATCTTGTTTATTCTGAATCCTATTTTAGGAATTAATTATGAATCCTGTCCAAAATGGAGTGAATGTGAGAGCAACCCTAGCACTGTGTATTGGAAAATGGCATCTAAGATGGTAAGGATTATATAGCAACTGTCCATGATTACAGTTAGAATTTAGAACTGATTTAACTGTTGGGGATTGGGGAATATTGGAAGAGGATAAAATCTTGGTCACAGACAAGTCAATGGCAAAACTCCCACAGACTTAAGTGGTGACAGTATTTCACCCCGAGTGTGGAAAGCTGTGGATAAAATGTTAAACATTCAAATTTGCTTGATATATCTGTTTCATTGGCTAGGAAACAAAGGCTTTACTCCCATAACCCCACAAGATGCATTGACTTGAATGGGATTCTGTGCAGACATAGAAGTCTGTCTGCACAGATCCAGTTGCAGGATCAGCACCTTAACTGTTAACCATGACTTGCTATTTTAACGGCTAGTACACTTTTTACTATATTTTTATCATGAACTATTACATCCTTAAACGACAATTGTAATCAAAATATTCATGTTTATAAACAATGAAGGAAAAACAGCAAAGGCAATGAAGGAAACACAGCAAAAGAAAGAGTGGGTAACAGTCAAACTTTGGGACACAGTTTGAATCTTGAAGTTTTCTGATGTGAATTCCTCCCAAAGTGTTAGGAGTTATGCCACGAATTACTCAAAATGCCATTTTCCTTTCAGGTTTGACCAAAGATGTCAAATAGTCCTAAAAAGTGTTTGAATTAGACCTATTAAAAATTTGAAAGTCATGCAATGTATTTTTGGAAATGCAGGTTCAAACTTTGGGACACAGTTTGAATCTTGAAGTTTTCTGATGTGAATTCCTCCCAAAGTGTTAGGAGTTATGCCACGAATTACTCAAAATGCCATTTTCCTTTCAGGTTTGACCAAAGATGTCAAATAGTCCTAAAAAGTGTTTGAATTAGACCTATTAAAAATTTGAAAGTCATGCAATGTATTTTTGGAAATGCAGGTTTCCCAAAACCTGTTCACCAAGGTCTCATGTATCACATAACATTTAATTACACAATAATTTGGATATTAGTTGCGTGGGTCTCTCAGTCTTGATATTTGTGTAGATATGTACCATCACATAATTAGTGCTTAACAAACATTAACTGTTCATAATATAATCAAAGGAATCATTCCCTCATTCAAATACACAAAATCATAATTGCTAAACCCAATTACTTTTTAACCTGTGAATGCTAAAAACATGCTGCTACTGGAAGCTGCTGTAGAATGTGGCTGTGTACCTTTTTAACATAATGAAAGGAACTCTTCTGCAAAACCCTGATTCAGCAAGGTATACAGGTAGGTGCCTAACTTGGAAGACATGAATAGCCCCTTGACTTCAGTGAGACTCCACATGCTTAAAGTTATGCATATGTTTCACTATCTTGCTGAACAGAAGGCCTGACAGAATGCTTATTTACCTCTGTTCTGTTAGGGTTCCTCGGGCTACATCAAAGATAGTTTAAGTTTATTATCTGAAGATTGAAGAGGTACTGAGTGAGGATTGAAAAACAAAAAATATAACATGCTTCTTGCTCTATCCTTTAACACGCTAAAATTTAAATAGTTGAGAGTAAGTGCTCACAGAAGGCAATCAACTGGCTGGGATCCACCTTCCACACATGCAAGCAAGAGGAACTACTGTTCCTTCTTCCTCCACAATGGATACCAGCATTTCCCAAAACTCCTTGTTTTGTTCCCAGAGTCTGGATGACCCGTGGCTCCTTTCCTGACGTGCTGGCTCCAAATTGCCCTCACATACTTATGTTGACTACATAGGCAAAGTAGGCTTCCATTGTGTTGGCTTACAGTGCCTAATCTACATAGGCACCTAAGAAGACTGGTGTCTAGCAAAACCTGTTTGTCTACACAGATTATAAAATATATTTTCAGTACATATACAGAACTGTTTACCCATTGTCCATATATACACACACATCTCTCAAGTTATGTGGTTCGGTACGGCCTTTAGCATTTATTAGATACCTCACACAATCCTTTTTGGATAAATATTGAGAAAGCAGCGTGGTAGGTGTAGTTAGTTGGTTAGGTCTGATAAAAGTTGCTACTTCAGAGCAGTGAACCCTTTCCCAATGGCATTTAGGGGCTCATAAGGTAACAGTTCCCAGCATAAGTTAGAGCAGCCTGCGCTCTGCTGATTTACACTGGCTGCCAGTAGACCCATGGGCTGACAGCAGCCAGGGCTCAGGGAAACCACAGCAATGTCCTCTACATCAGCATCCAGGAGAAGCGTGGCACAGAAACTGTTATGCCATATTTGCACCATCACAGGTTCTCCCCCATGGGGCTATCCATTTGTGGCAGATCAGTGCGGTTTTAGTTTAACTTTGCCCCGGTGAGAGATGATTTGGCCCTTTATTTTCATGGGAATCTTCTGTTAAAGTAGTGGACCCAGATCCTGAGCTGATAAAAATTGGTTCAGTTCTACCAAAGAGAAAAGAGAGATGCCTATTTACTCTAGCTAGGATCTGACTCCGTTTCATGTAATGCTAAAATACAATGTACATTTGCTCTGTTTAGTTTGCAGAAGCAGCATGTGGAGTGGTTCAAGTGATGCTCAATGGATCAGTAGATGATGCATTCAGAAGTAGCAGGTATTCACTTTAGTCTGTCACAATCTGTGGATCTGTCATACTTTTAATTTAGGGACTGCATAGTGGTGCAGGTGTCTGCAACAGTAAATCAATCAATCAATCAGTCAATCACACACCCACACCCTGGTGTTGTTCAGGTCTTTAATTCAATTGATTTTTGTTTTCCTTCATTTAAATCACTGCTCTGGGGTGGGGCTAGGGATGAGGGATTCCGTTTGCAGGGTGCCTCAAAGAGAGAGGACAACTTCAACCCTCTCTCATCACAGCAGCTTGGGGCTGGGTGAGAAGCACCTATCCATGGCCAATGCAGCTCCAGGGGGTCACAGGTGGGGGAGAGGTGCATGTTCTCTGTCTGGGACAGGTCTAAGTTTTTCTGTCCCCCTGCATTCCTAGCCAGAGCGAAGAATGCAGCAAACTGTGCACTTTCCCCTTGCTCCATGATGAAGGGGAAAAGCCAGCAATGTTCCCATGTGAATCGGGGAGGGGGAGAACTTGGGCCTCCCCTTGCCCTCCCTAAATGACATCTGGAGATTGGGAGGCTTGGAGCTGAGGCAGCCTGGACAGGGAAGGAGGCATGCCCCTTGCTATCCCCTTTCACCTGGTGATTTTTGTCTCTTTACGATTTGGTTTTATGAGAAGCAATCCCATCCCAGGCACATCCTATTTTCCTGTCACAATCAAACCCTTTCCCTGCTTTAAGTTATGACAAGAGGAAGCTTTATATCAAATGTGGTGGTTCTAGTTCTTACCATTTAGGAGGAGTTCTTGATCAGACAGACAGACTCACTCTCTCACCTATATGAAACAGTATGAGGTTCTTTATTCCTAATGATTTTTCTCGTACTTAGATATTATACACACAGAAAGAATCTAGCCTATTATATAATATATGCCAAAAGCATCTTCTGATTTATTTTATTTTGATTTTTTTTCTGAAAATGACCACAGTCCACAGAAGTTCATGAAATAAATGCAGTCCTCCACTATAGTATATTCAAATAGCCTACACGTATAAACTACTCTCCGGGTACATTTCTTCAGTTATGCTCCCCCACCGGAAATAGTACACACTTTCACTAACTGACAGGAGGTGCTAGCTCTGAGGAATGAGGAAACTGGTGGTTCATAAAAGCAAAAGATTTGTTTCCCCTTTGGAAGTGGCAGGCATTGGTAATTTAGAGGAAAAAAATTGTTAGGAAAGAAAGAACGCCATACTGTTTCATTCTGCAAACAGTCCATACGTTTTCCCATGGGATTTTCATGTTTTCACCACTAGGAATAAATTATAACTCATGTTATAATTATGTAGTAGCGACTGGAAAGTATGTAGTAGTGACTGGAAAGCATACTTGGTTCCTCGTTTTAATACTAAGATGTGTGTTGCTTTTTCATGCTTTCATTCTTACAGCATTTTTGGAAGTGTTGAGATCTTTAACTTAGACCCAGACAAAGTTTCTGCAGTGCAGATATGGCTTATGCATAACATCGGTGGACCTCACAGGTAATGTGTGATGCTCTGTTTCTATACTTTAAAGTGCAGTTCAGTTCTGAAACTAAACTAGCACTTTCTTACCAATCACATCTGCTCCTTGAAAGCAATTAGATACTTACTTTAGTGAAAATAATAAAAGATGGTAAAAATCTTATTATGACTACTGCCAGCTCTAAGCCAACCCAATATACTCAGGAAGAGCTAAAACTGTTTCCTTTGTATTAGCTCTTCAATGAAATTATAGCATCTCCACAACCCTATTGTCTTTACATTGGAGAAATGGTCTGAGGTAAACAGGTTGACGTTTAATAAGGACAAATGCAAAGTGCTCCACTTAGGAAGGAACAATCAGTTTCACAAACACAGAATGGGAAGCAACTATTTAGGAAGGAGTATGACAGAAAGAGATTTAGGGATTATAGTGGACCACAAACTAAATATGAGTCAACAGTGTGATGCTGTTGCAAAAAAAGCAAACATGATTCTAGGATGCATTAACAAGTGTGTTGTGAGCAAGACACGAGAAGTCATTCTTCCACTCTATTCTGCGCTGATTAGGCCTCAGTTGGAGTACTGTGTCCAGTTCTGGGTACCACATTTTAAGAAAGATGTGGAGAAATTGGAGAAGGTCCAGAGAAGAGCAACAAGAATGATTAAAGGTGTAGAGAACATGACCTATGAAGGAAGACTGAAAGAACTGGGCTTGTTTAGTTTGGAAAAGAGAAGATTGAGAGGGGACATGATGGTGGTTTTCAGGTATCTAAAAGGGTGTCACAAGGAGGAGGGAGAAAAATTATTCTTCCTGGACTCTGAGGAACGAACAAGAAGCAATGGGCTTAAACTGCAGCAAGGGAGGTTTAGGTTGGACATTAAGAAAAAGTTCCTAACTGTCAGGGTGGTTAAACACTGGGGCAGTAAGATATTCTGGGTCTTATTTTCTATCCCTTTCTTAATAATTCCTAGCATCCTATTTGCCTTTTTGACCGCCACTGCACACTGTGTGGAAATTCTCAGAGAACTGTCCACGATAACTCCAAGATCTCTTTCCTGATTTGTCGTAGCCAAATTAGCCCCCATCATACTGTACGTGTAGTTGGGGTTATTTTTCTTGATGTGCATTACTTTACAATTATCCACATTAAATTTCATTTGCCATTTTGTTGCCCAATCACTCAGTTTGGTGAGATCTTCTTGGAGTCCCTCACAGTCTGCTTCTGTCTTGACTATCCTAAACAGTTTTGTATCATCTGCAAACTTTACTACCTCACTGCTTACGCCTTTCTCCAGATCATTTATGAAAGAGAGCATCCACACTGCAAAAGCACAACGAAAAAGCGATGTGCTTTTTTGAAAGCTAGCATCCAGACTGCCTGGATGCTATCTCGCATGTAAGCAGTGATGTCAAAGGCTTTCTGAAAATCCAAGTCTACTATATCTACTGGATCCCCCTTGTCTGCATGTTTGTTAACCCCTTCAAAGAACTCTAACAGATTAGTAAGACAGGATTTCCCTTTACAGAAACCATGTTGACTTTTGTCCAATAAATTATGTTCTTCTACATGCTTCACAATTTTATTCTTTACTATTGTTTCGACTAATTTGCCAGGTACTGAAGTTAGACTTACCGGTCTGTAATTGCCAGGATCACCTCTACAACCCTTTTTAAATATTGGTGTCACGTTAGCTACCTTCCAGTCATTAGGTACGTAAGCCGATTTAAAGGATAGGTTACAAACCACAGATAACAGCTCAGCAATTTCCCATTTAAGTTCTTTTAGAACCCTTGGATGAATGCCATCCGGTCCCGGAGATTTGTTAACATTAAGTTTTTCTATTTGTTCCAAAACCTCCTCTAATAACACTTCAATCCGGGACAGTTCCTTAGATTCATCACCCACAAAGGACGGTGCAGATTCAGGAATCTCCCCAACATCCTCAGCCGTGAAGACTGAAGCAAAGAAATAATTTAGTTTCTC